AATCTTTTTTTTTTATCAGTTATGTTTTTGACTTGTTCCACCATTGTTACAAAAATAGTACATTTTTCTCGGGAACCTTTGCTCTAACATGTTGTCTTTGACATGTACATTATAAAGTATTGTTTTGAAAAAAAAAAACCTCAATGTGTGTTTTTATGCTTCTACTGTTTGCTGTAATTTCAAAGAAAAAGCATGAAGGCAGACGTTCAGGATGTGTCCTCATACGCGATAAAAGAAATACTACAGAGATTTAAAGGGATTGCACTTAAAGGTCCGAGTGCAGCAACATATCCGTATCTGCTTCCATCGCTACTTTGCAGCAGTTTGTTGTGGTGGGTAATGGTTGGAAACTAGACAGAGTTAACACCCACTGCGCTAATAAGTTTAATCCTGCATAAACATATCATATGATTGCGTATGAATGCCACGCTTGGTAAAATTTCCAAAAAAGATGGAGCCTGAGAGAGGTTTGTGTTTCTGAGGATATTCTGATGAGGTTGATCTGGCCTTGCAGACATGCAGTTTCCAACTGGCAACTTCCAAGTGAGTCAATACCATAGTTAAAATGTAAATATCAGACTTTACAGCATTAAAAAGCTCACAGGTCCAAGGCTAGTGCATAAAACTCATCCATCTGGATCTGTTCAAGGTCAAAATCAGGAGGGTGGATGGTTTGACTGAGAGGTGTGCCAACACAGCAGGGTGTAGCTGATGGTTGAATCTGCCAAGCTTCGCCTCCAGTAATTCCAGTCATAGTCAACTGGACCTCATGCTAATATTTATGATGATGGTCCATCCATGCATCCATTTTCTTAACTGGTTATCCAGTCCTGGAGCGTATCCCAGTAGATTCGCCAGTTAAACGAATATGCTTTTGGCCAAATCTCCTGCGATGTATATTGACTGCAGACTGTTTGGTCAGATATTCTGCTCTAACAGAAGCTAAAGGTCCGAAAATCCCCAGATTTGGTTTTTCTTTCAAGCTTGTAATCTTTAATCCAACCAACAGCCCATCAAACAGACTCAGTTTATTTATATTGCACATTTAACCCTTTAAGACCTACCATATAACCAAGTCCACCAGAGCTTATATTATATTTTTACATGCTGT